ATAAAAATCCAATTAGCTACCTGTATTTACAATCCCATGTGTATTATACATGTATATTAACTCAAAATTTTGAAACTTTAAATGTTTATATCTAATAAGCTAATAAAGTTATATTAAAAATTCAAACGCCATTTACTGTTGAATTAAAAACTCAAACATTTCATTAAATTAAAAATATGTGTTACCATTTAAAAAAACAAAGTTGACCCCCCTCCAAGGCATAAGGGATGAACTTAAAAAGTATTACATAGTTAAAAATTCAAGAATAATGTGTAACTAAAGATAATAAAAAAAAAAAATGTTTAAATTATTATTATTCTGCAAGTAATTGNAAATTATTATTATTCTATAAGTAATTGAGTGGGTTATGATAAAAAAATCACCCTGTATATGAGATATATTTTTATTAAAAATGTCACGACAAACAATTTATTTAGTCGGTTCGTTGAATAATCAAATATTAAGGAGTAAGCTACCTTCTTTAAAAGATTGATACAGGTCTTATTTTTTAATTTACGTGTTGTAAAACTTAATTTATCGGAAAGCTCTAACTTGGTGATAGACAAATGTCTCATTTACTGGAGAAAAGCCCGAATTCCAACAAAGCATAAAGCCGATTGTGTAAAAAATCTGAAAAAATATTATAAAACTTGGCGAGATATAGAAAAATGAAAGCACAGAGTTAATGAAAAACACCTAAATAAGTTGAAATAATTTTAAAAAGACTTAGATAATCTTTTTGACATTGCTCACATAAATACTTTAGAAATTATAAAAGTTGAAGAAGACAAAAAGTTTTTAATTTTACAACGACTGCCAGGTCGTCCTGGTTGTATGCTAGGAATCGATAAAAAATTATCAGATAAAGATAAAAGAAGAGCCGACAGAATTGAATCGGAAGTAACAAAAAGACTTAAGTTTGATACTGCCTCTAAAGAAATAGATAGAAGTAGACAAATAAATTTGTATAAATATTACGCGTATTTAAATAATTACTTCAACATACCTCAATGTACATATTTTTTAGCTACTAGTTTAGAATATTTAAGTTAAAAAAAATCACAAAATTGGAACACTGATGTATATGAAAACTCTCAATCGGGCCCTTCAGATAAAAGGCTTGAAAAAAAAAAACATTCAAATCTGTTATGTCCCCTCGACTTTGTGCTGCATTGGACAAATGTAAAGTAAGCTTAAAATTATTTTATTCACTATATAAAATAATCTAAAACTTGTTATGAGTACCGGAACAGGTGAAATAGTGTAACACACTAATACCTTAGCAACTACATTTCAAATGTTAAACGCGATAAGTTACATTTATCTCAACAATAAACTTGTGAACCGGTTCATGATTCTTCTTAAAAATACATATTTTGATGCTATGAACATTTGACAAATCATATAGATAATTTTTTTAAATAGTATATTTTGTTTGTTATACATTTGTTTTAGGTTAGTGATCGGGACGCTGTGCACTTACTTATAGAATTTATTGAGAGTATTGATTTGGATCCAATTGATTATATTTTAAATAGAACGTCAATAAGACGAGAACGACAATGTTTTCGCGAGAATTGTGCAAAAAATGTGCAGTTAGATTTTTCAGACTTTAACGTAGACTTCGTTAATGTGTATTGGGACGGGAAATTGCTTCCAGAATCTACTGGTGAAGGAAAAGTTGATATCCTTCCTATTATTGTTTCAACTCCTAATGTTAAGCAACTTCTTGGTGTGCCACAAATTCCAGCTGGTACAGGAGTGGAAATGTCATCAGCAATATTTGATACTCTAGAAAAGTGGGAGCTTAATAATAAAGTTCAAGGCTTTGTACTTGATACGACAGCTACGAATACAGGAAGACTTCATGGTGCTTATACTTTATTGGAACAAAATTAGGGAGAGAAATACTGTATTTTACATGTCGCTATCATATTTTTGAGTTAATACTTCAACCTGCAATTAATGTAGCCAAATTACACGTGTCTTCTGGGCCAGATATTGCAATTTTAAAACGATTTAAAAATACATGAGTGGGATTAAACAAAAACAATATAAGTTTGTGGAGTTCAAGTAGTTATATGTAAGGCATTTTATCTACTGTTTATGAAGACCCATTATTGTTTTGTTTAAGAGCAGTTACAGTATAACAACCACGAGATGACTATAAAGAATACATTGAATTAGTGATTATTTTACTCGGCGGAACTCCACCTAGTGGGCTAAATATAAGACGACCAGGTAAAATTGAAATATAAGCAAAAAACTATAAAACTACCCCATTTATCAAATTTTCAACTCTTTTGCGGTACGAGAAGGGGTTGACCAATCACGACAAAACTTCATCAAAATGTTTTACTTATAGTAATAAAAAAAATTTAGGGTCCTGCAAACAAAATTTTTAATTTAAAATTTGAGGACCACCCTAATATATATGTGTTATTTTACGATTCTCGAATCACACTTCAAATTAAAGTAACTCAATTTTATCCTACTCACCTTCGCCGTTATATTATTAAATTTTGAGTTACCATACCAGCCTGGGACGTTTCGTATAGTGTGAATCGACCTTTACTGTGAGTATTGGTTACATTGGAAATAACCTGTCCTTAATTACATTAAATGTTACCATTTATTTTAAGTAACAAAGATTATTGTTACTCATATCCTTGTGGATAGGGGATAAGAATACTTCCACGGCCCCTCTGCTAGTCGTTAGAGGCGACTAATGAGGTTGTGTCAGATCGACAACTGGCGTAAAAATCTTTGTCAAAAAAGTATGAGGAATCCTGAACAAAACTTAGGCGGATTGACCCATCTCGGATGTACGCGGGGACAACAGGTGAGGGAGAATAATGTAGTTAAAAACGGAGAAGGCCTAAGGAATAAAGTGTTTATTATAACCCAACCAGCCGGACAACTTGTGCGGTAGCTGTTTCATCAGTCATGTGTACAGGTCCACCCAACGCTTGTAGTGTCAATGGTGTAGGGACATCACCACTTAACTTTAGGCTGGATTCGTGTATAAGGGAGAAAGATAGATACAAAGTAAGAATAGGTACTTGGAATGTTGAAACATTAACTGGTAGAAGTAGAGAATTATTAGAAGTATTGAAGAGGAGATAATTTAACATTTGTTGTGTGCAGGAAACTAAGTGGAAAGGAGAAAAATCAGGGGAAATAGGTGAGGGTTATAAAATAATATACTCAGGTAAGTCTAGTACAAAGAATGGTGTAGGGATAATAATGGATGAGGAGATGAAAAGTAGAGTAGTAGAAGTAGCTAGGAAAGTGACAGAATTATAGTCGTAAAATTAATTTTCAAAGAAAAAATGCTGAATGTAATAAGTGCCTATGCACCACAAGTGGGATGTGATGAAATAGAGAAAGAAGTGTTTAGGAAAGAGATAGATGTGGTGATTCAAGGAATACCTGGTAATGAAGATGCGATGATAGATGAAGATATGAATGGACATGTAGGTAATCAGAGGAAGAGGATATGAAAAAGTACATAGAGGGTATGGTTTTAGTGGGAAGAATGAGGGTGGAGAAAGAATACTGGATTTCGCAGTATCGTATGATCTTGCTGTGGTTAATACTTATTTTAGAAAGAGGGAAGAACACTATATAACATATAAGAATGGGAAATAGATCACAGATCTATTATTTTATGTGGAAGAGAGAGAGCGTAAAGCGAGTAAAATATTGAAAAGTTATATTAGGCAAGAGTGTAACTACACAACATAGACTGATGGTAATGGAGTTGTGGTGTACCGGAAAAAGAATAAACAAAAATAGAAGAAACACAGGGGGGAAATCGAAGATTCGGCGGTGGAAATTGAAAGGGGAAAATCAAAAAGAGTTTGTAAAGACGGTAAAAGAGAGGACGGTGTGGAATGTCGAGGAAGACATTCCACATTCCACATTCCACAGGGATGAGTGGAATAGATTTGCTAGTTGTGTAAAGAATACTGCAAAGGAGATTGTTGGTGAGAGTATGAGTGAATGCCAGGAAACAAGGAAATCTAGTGGTGGGATGAGGACATTCAAAAAATCATAGAAAGTAAGAAAAAGCAATTCAAAGTATGATAGAAGAGCAAAAGGAAGGAAAACTGGAGTATATACGCTTGTGCAAAGAAGCCAAGTGTGCAGTAAGTAAGGCGAAGTTTAAGAGGTATGGTAGGCTAGGAATAAAGGAATGCGAGAAAGAAATCTATAGACTTACAAAGATAAAAGAGAAAAGATCTAAAGATTATCATTATATAAGGTGTATAAAAAGTGTTGATAATAATGTTCTCTCGATTGATGATGATGTGAAAAAAATGTGAAAGAGTACTTTGAAAAATTACTGAATGAGTAGTACCCAAAAGAGACATTAGAGGATATCTCGTGGAATAAGGGACTGGTAGATTTAATTAGTGAGAAAGAGGTATGGGAGGCTGCGGCATCAATGAAAAAGAATAAAGCAGTAGGACTAGATGAAGTGCTAGTAGAAGTATAG